ACACACACACACACACACACATAGAGGCAGATATACGAACGCATAAAAAGAAAAGCGGCAGCAGCAGTGGCAGTGGCAGTGGCAGCAGCTTCCGCGGCATCATTAAGGGTAGTTTCCAGCATCGTAAAAATATAGAGAAATAAAATTTAAAAAAGGCAATAGCAACAACAACAACAACAATAGCAAGAAGAAGAAGATGAAGCAGAAGCAACAACAGACGACGAACAACAACAACAACAACAACAAGAGCAAAGTGAAACCGAAAAGCAAAATAAATAAAATGTATCAATATAAGGAAATTTGGTAGGAAAATTGGCAAATGGCATCGAATCGTATTGCAACAACAACAATAACAACAACAATAGCAACAACAACAACAAGCAAGCGCGCGCGTTAACGAACTACAAATTTTAGAGCAGCAAGCCCCAAACCCAATTACTCAGACGCCACAGCTAAGACAGGCAACATCCAAGACATCGAAGCACAGCCACTCAGCTGACCCCAATTCACCCCCAAAACCATAGCCAGGCGCCCCAGCTGCCCACCTTGCCCCCGCCCACTTCCCGCTCCCCACTCCCCACTCCCCACTCACCATCAGCTGCCACGAAATCAATGAACGTACAAGACGTTGCCGAAGCTGAGGCTTAAGCTGATGCCAGGCAAACGGCGGAAGGTAAGTGGGTATATCGCGATGCCCTCGTCTTGATGGCCAGTTCTAGTTCAATATAATGAGCTAGTTCGTATTGGAGAGCAAGTTGGATCTCTTGTAGCTTGATAAACTAGCTAAATAGTTGAATAGAGCTAGTTGAATTTGATTAGCCAACTCAATGTGATGAACTAGTTCCACAAGATCGATTGAAATAGTTCCTTCTCACATGAAAGTGTATCGTCTATGATCGATGCATATGTTCTATTGAGTCGCTCAGCCTAAGACAATTGCCGGCTGAACTAGTTCATTGAATGCCCCTAGCCCTTTCCCGTTCCTCTTCAACTCATTTCGCTATCTAGAAGGTTCATCCCTATGTAGTTGAAGTGCTGCTGTCAAATCCTTCGACAACTCACTGTACACAACTCTCTAATGTAGCTGGCAGCATCCTTCTGCTTCTCCCATTAGTAACTTTAATGTTCGCTCTCTCTCTATTCCTTTGTCTGCTTGCTGTATCGATGCGCCACTGTAGCCAATGTCTTAGCCATAGTTTTGCCCATAGTTCGACACCCCTTTCCGGCCCCAATCAGAGCGAATTTCTGCTACAGAAATCTCTATAAATAATGTTTCTGGCACAGACGAAATCAAACGATGATTTTACCGTTGCCGGGATAAGGCTCAACAACCAGCCCAGCCCCTCAACTCCCTCTCCACACACAGCACAAACCCAGACCCAGACCCAGACTCAAACCCAACGCTTGCGCGCCTACGCAACGCTGTTTACCACGAGGCACCGTCGTCGTCGTCGCCGTCGTCGCCGTCGTCGCCGTCGTCGCCGTCGTCGGCGTCGTCCTTGTCCAAGTCCTCGTCGTCGTCGACTTCGGCTGTTGAACGTCTTTAACTCTCATTCCCTTTCCCTTTTCTTGCTGCGCTCGCTTCTCGCTTCTCCGTTTTCCTATTACCTAAGCCACCCACCCCCAAGCCGGCTACCCCCTCCCCCCGCCAGCTACCTCCTCGTTCATCTATTCATTCCTCCTGTTCCAGCAGCCATTAAGTTTTCTCGCTGTAATAAAAAATTTTCCTTTTTTTGCCGCGCATCACAGAATGTTTATATATATATATCTATGTGTGTGTGTGTGTGTATGTGTACCTTTGTGTATGAAAGTGTGTGTGTGTGTGTAGATACTAAATTTTCTAGTTTGTTTTTTTTTTTTTTTTTTGTATTTCCCTTTTACTCTATACTTTGCCTTTGCCTTGGCATTAGTGTTTATTTTTTTCTTTTTGAAAAGAAGATTTATGTAAAACGTTCGGGGAGTTAGTGCTGCGACAGAGCAGCTAGCTGCGGCAGTGGCAGCAGCAGCGACAGCGCCGCCGACGCCAGCAGCGACAGCATTAGCAAAATAGTCGCAGATGCTGTTGCTGTAAGTTTTACGCAGTCCAAAAACAAAACTGCCAAAATACCCATCGCCCTCCCCCGCCCTCCGCGTGGCTTCCTTCGCCTACCTCAAGCTCCAGCAGCCGCCCCTGATACAACCCCTCCAACCAGACCAGACCAGGCCAGGCCAGACCAGACCAGGCCAGGCCAGAGCAGACCAGAGTGTCCCCCACCTTCACCCTTACCGCAAGTCGGCGGCTGTGTTGCCTGCGGAGCCGCTGCGCTTGACTGCGACCAGCAACTGGAACGGCAGGACCTTCGCTCCTGGCCCTGGGCTGGCCTCACCCCCACACCTCAGCCGTGTACTACTGCCCTGCCCCCGTTCCCCTATCTCGGAAGTTTTGGCAAGTTTCATGTTTAGATTTCTAAGTCGCCTGCCAAAAGCTCCCGCTTCGGATTTTCCGCTATAAATATACATTTCGTTGCGCCTCCCCTCCCACTCAGCCCCCCGCGAATAGCAACTACATTTACTTGATTACTATATAGCTGGTCAATAATTAAGGCAAGGTGTAGGCTGTGTGAGACATACCCTGTAAATACCGTTGAGCTGGCGAAGAGCAGAAAGACCTCAGCCCAGAAGGGTCCAGCTCCCGAAGGACTTCTAAGCACTTGGTAGAGCAGGTCGGTCGAAGATGTCTGCTTGAAGCTGCTGATGTGCTGTGCTCTGCTGCTGCCTGCCTTTGTTTTGCCTTGGCCTTGGACGAAAGGGTTCAATGCACATTGCAGTGCATTCAATTATTGACAAAGTGGCAAACAGTCGATTTACGCAAGTGTCAACGAGGGCGACTGGAGAGGGGGCATTTGGGTGCTGTAGAGAAAGGCCTGTGCAAAGCTGGGCAAGCCGAGAAATATAAAGAAAAAACCCACAAGAAACAAAGAGAAACCCAGCACACATTCAATATTTGCTGATGAAACGCGAACATGCGAGAGCACAAGAGGAGGCGGAGGAGGCGGAGGAGGCAGAGCAGGGAGAAGCTCGCTTTGTTTATAGCCACATTTTAGTTGAAGCTCGAGCCCGGTTAGCCGATTATTGAATCAGCTGCTGAATGCGATCACCCGATCGCCGACTGCGCGAGCCCCATTGCCACGTGCCTCAAAGAGCTGCATGCAGATACAGATACAGATACAGATAGAGATGGAGATAGAAATGAAAACAGATACGGGTGAAGTATGAAATTGAGATATATGTAGATACACTCGCATAGATACAGCTGGATAAAACCTAAAATCGGAGTAGTTAAAACTTTTCCCTGGCTATAGGATCAGCATCAGCACCTTCTTGACCCTCCCTCTCACCCTCTATCGCTGCCTCTCTCTCCATCTCCCTCTCCCTCACACTCTCTATCTGTGTATCTGATTCTGCCTCTGTTATTTCGTCTCTCGACTATGTGCAGCACTAACAGCAAGAACAACAACAGCGGAAGCGACGCGTAGCAAAACGAAAAATGCCACAAAACGTGCTTCTAAGTTATTTTTCATTTGACCCCCACCCCCTTCTTCCCCCCCTCTAGCCACAAGCTGCAGGCAAAGCCCGTACCCTTACACAGCAGCACACTAAAACACCAGCACACACACACACACACACTCACACACACACACTGGCCAGAGCGTCTTAGATGCTTGAGAGCTGCTTGCTATTGTGCTTGTTGTTGTTTTTATCCTTCACACAGACACACACCCACACACACACAGACACACAAACGTACACAGCTACAACAAAAGATTGTCGAGTAGTTAGGTAACGGCCAACAGGCAACTGTAACGGTAACAGTGACAGTAACGGTAACGGTAACGGCAGCGGCATTGGGGCAGACAGGCATTTTAAGATTTATGTCGGTGATTATTTCTAAGTTTTTGTGCGCTTAGCAATGCGCCGCCCCCTCGCTCAGCTCATGACATACGAATAGCTGCAGGGTAGATCTTTATATATATATATACACTTATAGAGAGAGAGAGAGAGAGAGAGAGAGAGAGAGAGAGAGAGAGAGAGAGAGAGAGAGAGAGAGAGAGGGAGACATGTGGAGAAGGCACGTAGCAGCGCCAAATAGTGACCCCCAGTGAATAGCCTAGGCACCCATCTGGCTGCGAGTGAAACGTCTTTTGTGGCTGTGCCAAAATAACTCATACGCTGCGTATGCCCATTGAGACATGAGACAAGCGGACGGACAGACAGACTCGGCCTGCATTGACTGCACACGCTGCGAGTCAAGTTTTGATCTCTAGTCTCGCTCTGAGCTCAGCTTGAGCCATGGCCCAGCTAACGAGTCGGCATAAAAAATGTATCTAATGCTTATAGCTACCCTTGCTTCGTCTCACTACTCCCCCGAACTCCCCACTCCCCACTTCCCACTCCTCTCCTACTTCCTCACCTCACCTCGCACTGCTGGCGTTTGCGTTTGCTGCTTTTCAATTCCCATTCTTTCCTTAGCTTCATTGTGTTGGCATCTCGTTTTTTTCCTTCTTCTTCTTCTTCTTCTTCCTCTAAGCACAATACTATTTTCTTTTTTTCTTCTTCTTCTGTTGTTGTTGTTACATTTAAAATGTTTTATTTGGCCATTTGTATGTTTTATGGGAGCCGTCGTTTACCGCTACCTACGAATTCGACCCATGCCTGGGCCTGGGCCCGCACCCCTCGCCCACCTCTCGTCTTCTGTGCCGCATTTATATAAACATATACACTTGAATATATATTTATATATATATATATATTTATAAACGTGTGCCTATGTATTAATTTGATTCCAAAGACAGGCAAATATTATCCGATCTAAGCAAATCCAGGGTATTAGTGTATTATAGACTTGAGTTGTTAGCGCGAAACTAAGTTGGATTTGGAGGAATTCCGAAGACGTACTAAAGATATTCTTACGTGCTAGTACATATATATTTGTAGTCTCGTCTTGCATGAGTAGAACTTACGCCCATTAGAGAGTTACTTGAGATAGTTCTGCAGAGTGCCTCATCTCCTCCTGTTCTGCAATCTCGCTCAAGGTCACTCAAAGTATTTCTTGCACTTTTAGGAATCATTGAGATCAGTTTTCATACATGATTATGGAATATTACAGCCTCAGTATTGCTTGATCTGGATGGGGAAAGTAAGAAAAGGAAATTGGGTTTGAACATTTTTAAATAGCTCTATAAATATACGAATATCGGGTAATTCATTCCGAATGAGTTTATCATTTATGAAGATACAACCGAGATGTCAACTGAAACCTCAACCCTTAGTAATGATGTATCTGATGGATAATTAATCAAGTTGAGTACTTTTGATAATCCTTGACTTTTCTGAATCTATCTTAATTATCTCTGAGGTATTTCTGAGGTACTCTTAGCATGTAGTAGAGGGTCCCATCTAACTACACATCATTACTTTTGAGCTTTCGACTGTAAGAGTTAGTTATATATATATGTAGATTCATAGTGGAAATCATTCTTAGGAACTCAATCCCATTTTCGAGCACTGTGTACCACTGTATGCACTCAACTTTCGTTTTACTTTGGTCTTTGCTGCTGCTGCTTCTTCTTTCTCGCTGTGTATAACCCATGCCCCAAAACTAATCGCAACTCCTCGAAAGGGAGCAGCAGCAGCAGCAGCAGTCGCTGTTCTCTAACAATGCACAAAACAAAGAGAGATAGAGAGAAAGAGAGAGAGCGAACGCACATTCTAAATTAAAAGTAATAATAAGTATGTTATGTTTGAGCAAACGGAGGTGTGTCGAGCTAGGGGAGCGTGGGAGTATGGCGTGGTGTGGGGTACGGGGTATGGGGGCATGGGGGTATGGGGGTAGCTACCCTGCGAACTTAGACATTGAAATGAGAATTTTTAAATATAAAAGGATGCCACACACACACATACACACCCACACACGCGTACGCAATATGCATGTGTATTTGCCCCAGCCCCACCCCCTCGACTGCCCCCACCTGACATCTACTAGCAACAACTAATGCCAAAGCCCTGGCTGTAGCTGGTCTCCGGCGTCTACAACGCTACCAGCGCTGCCGTCGCTGTTGTTGTTGTTGTTGCTGTCGCTGTCACCGTCGCCGTCGCCGTCGCCGTCGCCGTCGACGTCAGCTGCCGTTAGCAATGCAAAAGAAATATTGCAACCCTCGGCAGAGGGTTGTGTGTCTATGTGCGTGTGTGTGTGTGTGTTTGTCTCAGTGTGTGTGGGCTTTTTATTTTCTAAACTTTACTGAAGTTGTCGTTTTTTTTTTTTGTTGTTGTTGTTGCTTCTTCTCCTCCTCTTTGAATGCTTTTTTATACATGTTTATATGTATATATAGTACCCGTACTTAGTGGCTGGGCAATGCCAAAAATACACTGAACGAAATCCGGAGAGACTCCAAAAGACTGAAAACATTGCGCTCTCTCTTCAAATATATAGGTATAGAGCAGAGGGGGTAACAGGGTTGCCGGACTTAGGGGAAGGATTATTCCAAAAGTCTAATCTCGATCCCCTATGGAGCTAGAGGGCACACGGGGTACAAACCTGGATGCAGACCTGGGATAATGTAGGAGGAGGCTGTAAGAAAGGATATAGACATCCACCTCCCTCCCCTACTCCCCCCAGCAGGTAGGGAAAGTATTTAGTAATATCGAGAGAGATGTCAAATATCTATATCAATTGCGAACTATAGCCCATTATTATGCCCTTCTGCCTCATGAATAGCACATCATCGCCTAGCCGACTATTCCATATGATCTCCCCTATCCACACCTCAGTTTTGCTCAGTGTGCGCTTTGTATTGGCGTCTGTCTGTGTGGCGTTGTCATTGCGCCTAAAAAGCACCTTTTTTCCACTACAATTCCGCTTATCCTGCCAGTGCCTCAGCCTCAGCCTCAGCCTCAGCATTATAACAGAATGGCACAACAATTTACAACACACACACCCCCACACACACACACACTTAAACAAGCCGCCACCATAAAACATAATATGTATGAGATTTTTCTTTCGTTTATTTTTTTTTAACTACGAACACGTAGTTAAAAAATGAAAAAATTTAGAACTGCAAACGAAGATGAAGATGCTGCTGTATGTGCGTGTGTGTAAGCGAGCGGTGGGAGTGGGCGAAGGCGGCGAGCGGGGGCGCCTGGGCTGTACCTAGAAGAAGAGCTACGGCGGCATCGACGCCAGCATCAACGTCAGAAAATTGAAAACAGAAAAAAATGAAAATAATACAACTACAACGCACCGACGACGACGACGACGACGACGACGTCTGCCATCGTCTCAGTCTCAGCTGGCTTTGCTACAGCCAAGTCGCAACTACACTGACACACACACACACACAGAGAGACAGAGGCACGCACAGACATGCATATAAACCACCCTTGAAAAAATCTCGCGCAGCAAAATCTAAAGCAAAAATTTCAAGAGACGAAAAAAGCGAAACGAAGTGCAAAAGTATAGAAAGAAATGTTGAAATAAAAACCTTGTTTCCGCGCAAGTTACAACAGCTTCCCCCGCGACACTCCGCTCCAGCAAAAAAGCTAAGCACACACCCACACACCCACACACACACACACACACACCCACACACACACACTACTTATTTGGAGGGGTTACGAGTACATGCCGTATCCACCTTGAAGAGAAAGTACGATATTTGCTAGCAATAAAAGTAGTAATCAGTCGCGGTGCCTTCCTCACACACACACACACACGCACGTACATACAGGCATGCAGCGCACACGTACACACATATACACATGCATATACACACATACATATAAAAGGCGAGCGAATCGCCGAGGTTGCTCTGTCGACATTCCCGAGTTAGAAAGAGATGAGCATTAGAAGCGGGCAGCAGGCAGCCAAAAGCAACAACAACTCTGCGTAGGGAGGCGACAGGGGGGAGGGGGGCTTAGGGTGGCGGGAGGAGGGGTAGCTGCGAGCTGCTGGCTGGTTTAACAACTGCTCCGCGTAACGAGAACTTTTCATTTTATGTAATTTCACTTCGCCGTTTTTTTTCGCCGCGCTGCTACTTTTTTTTTTTTTTGCGCTTTGCTCATTTTTCTATAACATTCGAATTTTTAAGTGAGTGTCGCCGGCGCTGCCGACGTCGCTGCCGGCGTCGCTGTCACGCATGTCGCCGCGGCTGGCTGTCTTTACTTTTGCTTTTGCTTACCCCATTTTTTCGCCCCTAGCGAGCTGCAATGTTTTTTTTCAACTGCTACTGCTGCTGCTTCTTCTTCTTCCTCCTTTTTTTCTCGCTAACTAAGACATTCGCTGTCGCTGTCGCTGTTGCTGTCGCTGGCGCTGTTGTTGGCGCTGACGCTAGCTGCGCTGCCAGCGTCGGCAGTTTTTTTGTGTGCTGAAATTACGAAAGCGACATTAATTTTTTAGAATTGCGCTTATGCGTGGAAAAGCAGTTAGCCTAGTGCGAAGGAGGCGCGGCAGCAGGGGGAGGAGCAGGTGGAGCTGAGGCAGCGACTGCGCTGCTTGCCAAACTTTCACTACGGGTTTGGGGCTTGAGGGATTGGGTTGACTGAGGGGGTGGAGAATGGGAAATGGGGAATGGGGGATGGGGGATGGGGTGCGGTCGGTGGTGGGTGGCTCAGCAGAAGTTGCGTTTTAAATGGGTAGTAAACGCGCATGTATGTAGTTATATTATTTTTTACGAGCGCGATATGTTGTGTAAAATAGCATTCTGCCTCAGTCAACAACCACGCCTACTCTCCGCCCCACGCATATCTTCATATACGCATACATGTGTGTGCTTTGTCTGTATGTAGGTATGCAGATGAGTTGGCTGTAAGTTTTCACTTTACGCTCAGGTGTGCTTCAGGTGTGGGTAGGAGGGAAGCCCTTACGATGCCTTTGTAGCACACACATTTGTATCATATGTATGTACATACACACATATGTATATATTTAATACGGATGAGGGACTGATTTCATAAAGTGTGCTCTCAAGGGCCAATCCTTCAATTGATCGTATCAATTCTATAACTAAGAAACAATCCACTTTTCGAGAATATTAATGGGTTAATTATTCAATTGATTAATGTGTATGTAGATGTATTAAAAATCCCTAATTTCGATGGCGACAATAGTCGATCTGTTTCCAACTGGAGAGCCAAAGGTAGCTAAGAAAACCTTTACACACTCTTTCCCATAATTTATCGATCTGCCCATAGTTATCGTTAATCCTTCAGTCGAAAGAGTACAAATTTCGAAAGGTCGATAACATTCCTATTCCTATTTCAGATTTCTGTATGCTTACTTAATCGAAAAATCGATCAATCGAAAATCGAATCGATTTTCTTTGTGCTCAGTCAAAATATATATTTATATTTATAATATATTCATCTCTTGTGGCTTTCATCTGCCTATCGGTGCTCATAGACTAGTCATCAATTATAAATCGATATTCATGAATTATTAGCCAATTAGGCTCATGTTTGCCCAAAACAGTCATGGCCAATTTAATGAGATGAGCAGAGCAGAGCAGAGTGCATCGCATCGCATCGCATCGCATCGGCATTCGCTTCGACTGTTTTGATCGTTTGCTTTCCCGCCAAACACTTTTCCATACATTTTACTTAATTTATGGCCACACCCCCTGCCACACCTATGCGCTTGTCTCTGCCCCTAGATAGCCTCGCATGTGAAATTATTTACGCGACAATCGAAATGGTTTTTTTGCTTTATAAATGAGGAGAAAACCTCATGAATAATAGCGCAAAATATTTGACGTCAGATGCTTTTTTATATATTGTAATTATAATGGCAAAGTTTTTTCCACTTCCAGCTCCACTCTTTTTCGACATTCATATTTGCCTATGTAATGGTTTTTTATTGCAAAAGAATGCATACAAAATAAACAACAAATCAAACGAAAAAAAAAAACAAAAACAAAAAACAAATAAATAAAAAATAGATGAAAAAATGATGGAAATATTTTGTGTGTGCTTTGGGGTTGGCAAAAATTTATTGATGAAGCGAGAGCAAAATAACCAAAAAGAAAGGAATGGCAGCCAAATGAAATGTTAATTTCAAACACACACACACTCGCTCTCTCGCTCTATCTCACTCGCTCCCTCTCTTTCCCTCAGCTTGACAGCTGACACCGGCAATAGCAAACAATGGGAATCACAATGACTGACCGATCCTGGCCTTGTGCCTTCTGCCACGCCCCGCTTGTCTAGCACCCGCTTGACCCCTGGCCAGCCCAGCGCCCCTCTCCACCCCTCTCTCACTGTAAGCACAGCAAAATGAATATCATGCTGCCAAATTGTCATAACAACAGCAGCAGCAGCAGCAGCAGCAGCAACATGACTTGCCCATTGCCCGAGCGAGCGGCAAAACCTAGACATTTTTTCATAATTCAACAGTTTCTAACTAGAAGTATGTGTGTGTGTGTGTGTGTGAGCATGTGTGTGCGTGCTTATTGTTTGTCTAAAAAGAAAGAGTGTTTGCTAACGTTATTAGACAATGCCATTGACTAAGGCCAACAAACAAACGCGAATCACAGACAAAGGCAGCTGCCAAAGCATTTCCCAGCCCTCAATGAGAAAACAAAGGAAAGCTCTTTTAACTTTTCACTTTTGCATCGGAATATCAATCAGACCAAGATATAGACTACAGACATGGACCTAGATATAGACACACATATACAAATACAAGAATTGGGTTTTATCATATATGTGGGTAGTGACTCCACGATGATCCAAACAATCTCCAATCTGAGTAGCTCAAAGTTTTTCAACATCATATACAACAATTTATTATAGCTTGGGAAGCTTCACTGTAGTTGTGTTTCGCCTGAGGCAAATTCTGTTTCATTATTGTAGTGTGAAGTTGTTTTTTCTTTCGGTATATTAATAGACTTGATAAGTGATAAGGATATAGATAGTTAAGTGGAAGTAGTGGAAGTGGAAAGAACTAGAGAAACAAGGAAAAGACTAAGAGGATAAGGAAGAGAACAAAATAAATATATGCAGGAAGAGGAAGGAGACGACGAAGAGGATGAAAAAGGGGGTATTAAGAAACTGAAGAAGAAGAAGAAGAAGAAGAGATATGTATACAAAAAGGGAGCTTGAAAAAGCGAAAAAGATAATGAAGTAGGAAGGCATAGAAGTATAAGAAGAAGCAGAAATACAACATGAGCTTGTCAAAGCTCAAAGCTGGAACTTACTCAAATTCCAGAGCACACACACACACACACACTCTCTCACGTACGTATATGTATTTACATGTATAGCAAACGTGAAAGCAGTAAAGGAATGTGCGTAATATATATAGTATATTATATTATATATATAAATATATATGTGTGTGTGTGTGTGTTTGTGTGTGTGTGTGCACTCACACGACGACCCCAGCGACATGCTAAAAATTTGTATAGAAAATTAGTTAAAAAATTACTCCGCAGACACGCGCACACAAACAATTTACATGACTGGAACGTGGGGGAGGGGTAAGGGGGCCAACTGGTATATGTGTGCTGTATGTGCACACGCACACACACATATGTAGTCGCATACACACATTTGGCATTAGTGGGCGGTGTTAGAAATTTGCGTGGATCCTTCCTTGCCCATTGTAAAGGCGACATTACTACCTCCACACACACACACACACAAACAAGCACACACACACACATACTGACACACAGACAGAGACAGAGGAAGATAGCAGAGAGCACCGCGTGTGCCGGGCTACTTCTACTTTTTTTTGGGTACACACACACACGCACATACATGTAGAGACATGTGCCATGTGTGTATGTGTGTGTGTGTGTGTGTGTGGCGCGCGAGTTGAAAGTTTGTCATAAAGCACCCCATTAAAAAAAGAGGCTCACAACGAACGCTTCACAAAGTTAGAAATGGACTGAGCGGGGGCGGGACCATGCCTACCTCCGACTCCCCTTTCGGGCTGGGGTTACGAGCTCTGCGTGGCAGTAAGCGAGACAGAACGAAAGCAGCCACCAAATTAAACATAAATGCGAATTAGAAAAAACTTTTCGTTTTTTCATTCTCTTTTGCGAACGGCGGCAGCAGCAGCAGCAGCAACAGCAGAAGAAGAAGAAGCAGCGAGAACGAAGCAAACAAAGAGAGAACAGACAACTAGCGAAGAGCTAAAACCAAAAACAGGCTCCAATTGCAGGTGATCTATTTCGAGTAGTGTTGGCAATTTGGCTTTTTTTCTCGACAGATCTAGCTTTTTTCTTTTTTGTGACATACTCTGCAATGCCCTAATTTGAATGTTGGGTATATGAGTGTTGATTTGGGGTGCCATCCATATGGCTATCCATCCATTCATACACTTATCTACCTGCCCCAAATCTCGAGAACTATTCAAGCTAAAAAATCTTAATTTTAAACAGTTATATATTCCAGTATATCATACGGCATTCCGAGTATCGGGGTAGTCGTGTATGCTAGTTATTTCCGTCTGGCCGTCGGTACCTTTCAAAGATCTCCTGCAGATCATACGCAGTACGAGTTGATCCTTTTCCCAGCTATCCCTAATACTCAAACAATTGACTGTTTATATCAAACGAATGCAAGTTCACTTCAGGGTATCTCCTAGTCGTGCACTCCCTAGAGCACTCTCAGCTTTTCTTATTAGCCTTTTTTGATCGGCTCTGTGCAATGCGAACTTATGATAGGTCGCCTAAACTGTGTCAGCTGTGCTGCAGGATCGACTCGGGCAAGGCTTCTCTACAAATTTCTTGTTTGCAGCATTTGCCACATGCCACATACCACATGCCACGGCTACCACACACACACGCACACACACACACAGAGCAGACGTGTGCAGTTGTTTTTGGCAATTAACCAAGAGTGCTGCTGGCTGCGACGTCGACGCCCATCACTCCTCTGCCTCCCCAATCAGGCAGGGAGTAGGGGCTAGGGGGCTGAGGGCTGAGCTACCCCCACTAAAAAAAGGTACACATACGCACAGTTTTTTGTTGCCTGCGTCGCACTCCACATTTTTAAATATTTTTAACTGCTGCGCATCGTTTCATGCCTGGGTAGGCCAGAAGGGCGGCAGGAGCAGGAGCAGGGGCGAGGGCGGGGACGGTGGTGGCTCGAGGGGTACACTTGGGGAGTGGAGGTAACTGGCAGCGTGGCAAGGTTGGCGGGGTGTTAGGGTTGATATTCGTTTGGCGCTTTTCTCTGTTTGGTTAATATTTTGGCTCGTTTATGGGCAATGCGTGTGCGTGTGCTCATGTGTGTGTGTGCTTATATGTATGTGTGTGGGCGTTCGCGGAGTCTTTGTGGGTTCGCTAGTGTATATACATAAGTGCACACACATACACACACACACACACACAGATAGGTGTAGGCTGTTCGGCTCACACTCAAATAGCTCCGCCCCCCATGCGCCGCCCCAGCCCCTCCGCCGACGCCCGCTCTAGAGGCAGCGAGTCATGTGCGTAATATATTAAGCGACAAAAATGAAGAAAAAAAGTAGGTGGAGCTGTAAAACTGAGCGCTGACACTTGCTGCGTCCACCGGACCGCCACACCGCCTTCGCCAACCTACCTCTCCCTCTCACTCCTCTCTCTATCACTTCAACGCTCAACTCTTTGAATGATTATTAATTGATTGACTGTCTATACATAGAGTTTCAGATATGTCCACAAATCAGTTTTCAATTATCAATAGAGCTCGAGAATAATTAACTATAGCCCATATATGATCTTTGGAGCGCAGTCTCAATATCGAAAAACTCGAAATGCACATAGCACTCGAACGTAATCACATACCACAGACTGACTGATCTACAGATCCAGCTGAACTGATAGATCAGCTGTGGAGCAGGCATCAATCATTATTGAACTGCAGTTGAACTCGAACTCGGCTCTGGCTCTGGTTTCTCATGCATAGAAAAAAAGATCCTTTACTTTGGAATTATCTGAAAAGAAATCAGTTTTGACCAAGGCTAATTTTACGATCTGAAATCTCCATCTAGTGAAACTTACGCACACATACACTACTATACAGTAAGGGGCCGAACACACACACATACACAGGTTTTGAAACACGCCCAACCACTACATACATATGCAAAACAGCTATTCCTATTGGCTAATTACAACGAGCTGAAAAATTATACACAGCGAATAATCTACATAAGATGTTACATACATACATACATACGTACATCAATGCCTTGGGCTTATGAGTATGCGCGTGTGAGCTCCGTCTGTGTGTGCGAGTGTGTGCCTGTGTAATTTAAAAAAGAAAACACACACACGTCGTCGTCGACGAGTTGCTCATGTCTAAGAAAATATGCTGAAACTTTACCCCAGCAAAAGAAAAAATAAGGTAAAGCAAACTCAGAATCAAGGCAAGTGTAACAGTGTGTGTGTGTGCATGTGTGAATGTGTGTGTGAGTCGAGTAAATCAAAATTTTGTGCACCCACACAGACCCAAGCTGAAACACTACTTGCGCCCCCTTCACACACACACACACACACACACACACAAGCCCACAGCCAGCATCTTAGATTTTTATACAACACAATGAAGTTGGCTGCACTGGCAATAGCAACAACAACAACAACAACAACAACAGCAATAGCAACAATAACCGCTAACAAACTACAAGTATTTACAGCCACATGCAGCTCAAATAATTTGTAGCATTTGCCTGCTCTACTCTAGACCCCCATACACCTCATACAAGTCCCCTCGCCCACTCCAGCCCCCCACCAAAGCACTAACGCCACGCCATATTCGTCGCTTTGTCTAGTTGGGAGCGCTAAATAAAACTACAACGAAGACGTCAACATCCACGTCGATTGTGTTACACTGTCTCTTGGCCTTGCTCTCCCAGCTACACGCACACACACACACACACACAGAAGCAGGCGGGCGCGCTCTTACGATTTGTAAAAAGGCGAAAAAGAAAGAAAGATAGAAATAAGGAAAAAAAACAGAAATGTCGGCGCACTTGTTGGCATCTCAAAGTCGCCGCGCCGTCTAAGAGCAAAGCGAAGAGAGCATAGCATACTTAACAGCGAGCCAAGACACGAGCCACGGCACGAGGCGAGGAGAGGCTAGGCGAGGCGAGGCGAAGAGCGCAGCCTAGGCGAAGAGCGCAGTAGAGCGCGCTGAGGCAAAGCAAGACAGGGCAAGGCGAGGCGAGACGAGGCGAGCGCAAAAGCAGCGCCGCTGCGTAGCGCTACTGGTGGGTACTTTACTTGATGATTATGGCGACGATAATGATGATTGGAATGGCTTTGATGGCGTTGAAAATGAAGATTGCGTGTAGTAGATTTCTTTGTGCTTCTTTTTCATTTTGTGTTGTTGTTGTTGCTGCTGGGTCCAGTGGCTTGTGCGTGTCCTGCCAGTGTGTGTGTGTGCTAGTGGTAGTGCTTGGGCTTATGATTGTGTGCGTGTGCGTGTGTGGGTGGTTAGCTTAAGGTAATGCTTACAACTACACACTATCAACATTTGATTTTATTACGCTCATTTGTATGCACACACACACACACATACACACAGAGTGGCTGTATGGATAGTGCGTGTGCATGTGTGTTTGTATGGGTGTGTGTGTGTGTCCGCCTGCTCAATTTGACGCCCATAACCACTAAACTAAATTATAAGAATAGATTCGCAGACTGCCAGCGAGAGAGAGAGAGAGAGGGAGACAGATTGAGTGTGCGAGCGAGAGAGAGTGAACTACTTTGACCTCCTACTGTGATGGACGCTGGCGTCGCGGCCAGCGCTAGCGTTGACGTCGACGGCAATGAAGGACGTCGCCGCCGTCGCCATCCTCACACGGCGACTTTTGCCGGCTGCTGAGTTCATCTTACATTTTTTTTCTCATCTTATTTATTTTTTTCTTTCTTCTTGGTTTTGGTTTTTTCGGCCAGGCAGTCAGCCAGCAGCAGGACCAAATCGCCAGCGTCTTGCAAGGCAGTTAGTAACTGTTAAGACGTCGCGGTCGTCTCGTCTCGTCCCGTCGTCATTCTCGCTTCATTTGTGGGTTGCCCATTTGCTGCACTTCACTTCGCCTCTCACTGCTCGCTTCTCGCTTTACTCGTTTAGTTTTCTGTTCTCTGTTTGTGTTTTCACATTTTCTGTTGTTTGCCGGCTCGCCTCAGCAGCAGCCGGCAGCAGCCGCAGCCGCAGCCGGAGAGGCAGCTACAATAACAGTTAGCTCGCTCGGACAAGCGCCGGACAGGCTAGAACGTGTTGCTTGCGCTTGTAACGGTAATGGTAACGGTAACGGCAGCTGTAACGGTAACTGTAACTGGGAATCTGTGAATGTGAATGACAATGTTAGCTGCTGTGATTTACTAACTGTTCTTTGATGTGACCTAACATCAATGCGAATGAGAGACAGAGATAGAGAGATAACGCGCGATAGAGAGACAGAGAGAGTCGGTTCATTTGCTTCCCCTTTTTGCAACAATATTATTAATTATATTATTAAAAATAAAAATTAATAAAAAAAAGTACTCACACACTTAGACACATGCAAATAAATCTATTCACACACACTCACACACTCGCAGCCGACTCGCTGAATTTTTTTTTTTTTTTTTTTTGCTGTCGGCTCAAATATATTTTTTGTGCGTCGCCCCGTCGATTTCCCCTTTTCAACGCCAGTGGGTGGCAGCTTAACCCCTCCCCCCTCTGCCTACCTCTCCTTCTCCTGCGCCCCTCTCCACCCACCCACCACACTTACTGCACATAGTTGTATTTTGGATTTTTTGCCCTTTACAATTTGTTGTTGTTTTTTTTTTAAATTTCGTGCCGTCGCACGGGGGCTGTTAGTGTGTGTGTGTGCGAGTGTATTTGTGGCAGCGACGTTGGCGCCGCAGTCGCAGTGAACGCAGCATGCAGCGGGGTTGGTTATGGGCTTCCTTTTTTTTCGCTCACACACACACACACACACACACATGCGCGCTCACTCTTTTCTTCTTTTTTGTTTCAGCTCATTGTTGTTGTTGTTGTAGTTGCTGCTGCTTTTGGTTTTAGCATTTTTCGTTTTTACTTTTTTTTTGTTTTGTTTGCGATTTTCCTTTGGCCGACGTTGCCGTCGCTGCCGACGTCGCAGTTCGCAGCCTTTTTTAACGCCGCACGCAGCATAAAAACAAAAAATAACAGGAGATGAAAAAAAGCTAGTTGTTGCTCGCGATTGGGGGTGGGGTGGGGTCTGGGGTTGGCTGCTGCCGCCACATGACATAGGCCGCAAAGCAGGGTGAAACGACTGGAACGGGTGGAATGGGTGGAACGGGTGGCAATGGCAATGAGTAATGAGAGTGTTTAGTGCTCGTGTGTAGTTTGGCGGGCGTCGCAGTCACCGTCACCGCCGCCGTCGCCGTCACCGTCGCCATCGCCATCGATGTCGGCAGCGGACAGTAGCGGCAATTATGCCCTTAGAAGAGCCAAAAAATGCCGGCCACTGTCGCTGCTGGCGTCGCAGTCGACGCCAACGACGCCTTCAAATCATAGCACAACATTTGGCGCACTCTGCCTATGTGTATGTGTCTGTGTGTGTGTATTGAAAGGGGGTGGGGTGGGGGTGCTCTGCGTATGTAATGGCTTCAATTGTGTGCTAAATTTTCTATTTCATTGTCGCGCTGACTGCGCAGCAGCGACCGCAGCCGCAGCATCAACAGCGCGTCGTCTTTTGGCTTCGTGTCGCGATGTCTGCTGCTTCGGCTCGGCTTCGTGTGGCGACGACGACGACGAGGACGCCGAGGACGACGTGGACGACGTGGACGAGGACGAGCGCGACTCTTTTTAGCCACAGTTGCTGCGCTGCCACCACGCTGCGACTGCGACTGCGATTGCTGCTGCTGCGACTGCTACGGCTGCTGCTGCGGCTGCTGCTTTTGCTGCTGCTGCTGCTGCTGCTGCCGGCTCGTCCTGTGGCTGTGACTTGCCCGTTACTTGGCTCACTTCAATTGAGTTCCGTTTTTAAAAATAACGTTAGTTGCTGTTTGTTGCTCGTTACGTGCGCGTGTTGCGACGCGCAACAGAAAAACAAATATAAGCAAAACTGAAAACATTAAAAAAACAAATAGAAAGAAGGAAAACAGCAAACAGTACAGAGAACAGAGAACACAGCTAAAGGACATTTCATTCAGAATATCAAAAATACATTTTTAAAAGTTATTAAAGCAAAAAACAAAAATTCATATTTAGCAACTATTGTGAACTAATTTTATTTAATTTTTTTTCGAAATCGGAGTTTGAAAAACAAAAATAATAATAAAGCATTTTTTTTATTGTGAATGCAACGCAGTCGAACGTGCAATAATAATTAGTGAATCGAGTCGAATCAAATCGAATCGAATCGAATCGAATAGAATCCAATTGACACACACACAGACACACATCTATAGCAAATACCGAGTAATTTCGTCTGTTGTGGCCCATTGCAGCGCCTGTGGTCCAGTGTGATTCGAGTGTGTGACGAGATAAACAAACACCAAACAACAAACAACAAACAAACAAACAACAAGAGAAAGAAAGCAAAACACAGCAAAGCAGGCGAAGCTCGCGACATTCGAGCCACAAATCGCACAGCGAAAGCGAAAGTGCCAGAAGGACCTGCTGCAGACGACCACGAGGAGCAGCTGCAGCAGCAGCAACAGCAACAGCAGAAAGAACAATATCAAAGTGCAATCGACAACAACAACAACAACACACTGAAGGAAATCAAATCATGTAAGTAAAGCTGACCAAGCAATGCAAGTAGATCTAGTTGTGAGAGATCTCTCAGAGCAATCTATGAAACTCCAGAGAGACTTCCTAATAGTGAATATATATCTACGATCAGAAGTGACAATGGCAATTTCAACAATATATGACAATACATATTACATATATGAACCAATCTCAGTCCCATCTGAACGAACAATGTCTGCGAACATAGTTAGGACTGAAATTAACTCATGCGAGTAGAGATCAGCCACGAAATAATAGTCTGAAACTCTATGGGAACTCCTGGTTATATTATACATTTCAAATATCTGAACCAACTGGGCTTCTTTGAGAGATAGAGAGTAGAGAAAGGCACAGAATTAATGCAAGCCACTACGTAGGATATAGAATAGATAGCAAGGAAATCAAGTCATGAAAGTAAAGTCGGTAAGGCCATTAGAATAGATCGGTGAAAAGATATATAACAATATTACAACAATGTTATATTATCTAACTGTTGCCAATGTTATATGATCTATAGTAGTAAAATATATGTATTTGAACCATCTGAGCTCAATGCAAAATGGAATGATTAGAAAGTGAAAGGCACGTCCATTAGCAAGTCCCTTAGTTCATTTGGAGAGACCAGTCAAAAGTCGAACCCAATTGTGAATCAATTTAATTACTAAACAAGCTGAAAATATCATAAGTAAAAGAATCAAGTCTAGATAAATTAGTGCATATCTAATAATATCTTATATATGAAACATGTAAGCCCTCTTGGCACCACTCAAGTACTCGTCTTTAAATAATATTCTGTATCTATTCCGTATGCATAAGGAAGGAAAATGAAAAACAAAAGATCAGGATAAGAAAATTAGGAAGTTATTTTATTTTCTTCAGAGAGAATAAATCAACTCACAATTGGAAAATCTATATGAATTCTCTTTAAGCTGTTAAGCGGTTAAAATATTTCCGCCTTAGGCTTTAGTAGTTTCTACCAGTTTTGAAAGAATTAAAGCTTATGAGTATAGGGAAATTCCTATCTTTAGACTATGTTAGATAGACTAAGTTCTTAAGAGATGAATGCCACAAATTGAATTATAATAAGTTAAGTTAATAACTGTGTCCTTCCATATGAGTTTGCCTTTTGGAAGACCAAAATATCTTTCTAATCAATCTCTCGATGCTTTTGCCAACAGTCAAGGGCGCTTAACTGACTAATTCCCAATTCGGTAGGAAATAGAATTCGCAATCTGCAACTCTCTGAGGAGTCGTCACATTGCTGAATCAAATACACAATTTAGGAAAACAGAAATTTCGTCATTTCTCACCTGCTGATTACCTGCCAAAGGTAGGCGAATTTCATTGATAGGTAATCTCGAATAACTCGGCAGATAGGGCGTAAGTCGTATTCGTCGCGGGGGCAGAAGTGACGGCAATTGTTTCTGTGTTGCAAGATTTTTGGGGTCTCTTAGTCACGAGACGAGAATGGAACTGCACTCTATACGAACTCTCTCTCTCTCTCACCCTATCTGCCTCTCTCTCTATATATCACTCTATCTCTCGCTCGTCTTATACGATATCTCTCGCTCGTAAATGTATAAAACAAGGCAAGTCGTTGAACTTTGCGAGCTTTTTCGACTGATTTGAATTGCCCTATCTTCATGTGGGCATTACAATTTCACCAGCGATAGAGACAGGTAGAGCTATGTGTCTCAAATGGAGACACAGATGTATATAACTGAATAAACATGTATTTGCTGACTGCCTTAATAGAAGAGAGTACTATTATATTTCAATCCACATATCTTATTGAAATGTGGAATAGACTCTAGGTAGAATTTGGAATAGTTCTGATAACTTGAGAAGCGTTCGATGAGATATCTGAGTTTGGGAGCTCGATCTTCTGCTACACCACTGATGCTACAAAGCCTAAGAACCAAAGAGAAAGCAAATATACGATACGAGAGATCGTAAGGCCCTGCTCATAGCTAAGGTCTATCGGACGAACGTGGCAGATGCCTCTGGCAGGACAGTCCACATGCATTGTAAGGCCTCTACTGCATTCTCAGCGTCTCATGCCTCAGTCATTGATTTCCTCCTGGTCGATCGCAAGGGCATTGCAGATTCGGTGTGACGTGGCGTTAGTCTTCGTCTCTTTCCTGTTTTTGTTTTTGTTTTTATTATTTTTTGTGAACTGTAAAACATTGCAAGATAATTACGCTTGGGTGTTCGTGTGTGTGAGTCTTCACTGTGAGCATATCTAACGCTGATATCATGCGCTGAGCAGAAGAGTGAAACAGCGAGACTAAGAGGGAAAGAGAGAGCGCGCGCTTGCTAGAGCAATGATCGCGCTAATTCACATTACGTATACGCCGCGTTTAGCGTCGCTTTTTATTTTTTATTTGTGTTTGCCTTATGCCTTTGCATTGTTTTGTTTTGTTTTATTTTATTTTATTTTATTTTTTACTTTTTTGTGTGCTTTTCGTAGCGCGAGCGCGGTCAATGGACGCCGCGTTTATTAGGCCTTCAGCGCCTATGCCCCTGTGTGTGTGTGTGTCGATGTGTGTGCATATGTGCATGTGTGTATGTGTATGTGTGTGTCGGTGTCGGTAACCCAATGCAATCTACAACAATTAGAACAAACAGCGGCGGGTTCATTGCGATCGCATTGCCAGATCATTGCGTTTTGTAGTCGTTGTTATTGCGGTTTGTTGTAGTTGTTGTTGTAGTTGTTGTTGCTGCTGTTGCTGCTGTTTCTGTTGTTTTGTGTGTTGTTAATACGAGGTCGTACGAAGGGTTAATGTCAAAAGCAGCAGCTCGCACAAACAACTAAGCGGCAGCTGAGCAATTGGCAACTATTGGAGGAGCGAGCATGGGGCGGAGGAGCGGCAATTCAAGAGAGATGAAAGGCCAAATGGAAAATTCCGTTTCAATACTAAATCAAAGAAGGGAAACAAAAACGCGAGTAGAGAGCTGCCTAGGGAGTTCCGATTCAGTTTCAGTTCCAGTTTTCATACTTTTCCGTTCTGTTCCATATCAGTTCTTCGACTATAATGTAAATAGAAAAGGGTTATCCGATTCAATTTCAGATTTCGTATCGCTCTGCACAAATCATTAGAGTATTATGTGGAATAGGTAAGGCAAATCAGCTGAGGGGCAAAGGGAGCTGCATTCCCTTCCCAGTCAGCCTAAGGTTTCGTACCATTTCGTATCATGCGAAGAGAGCTGCATACCAAATGCAGAATGGAGCTTTAATTTCTGTTTCAATACCATTTCGTTCCATCGAATTTATATAGAGTAAAACTAATTATATGAAAGGCTGACTGCAGTTGGCAGCGACACTTTCAGTTTCATTCCCATTCCGTGCCGTTCCAGCCGCTCCCAATGATCAGCCACACACACACACACACACACACACACACTCACACGCAATTGAAGATCCAAGTACATCTGTGTTTGCTTCCAAAAAAATGTCGAGTTTAGCGCAAAATGTTGGCCAGATTTTCATTCAAGCCAGCAGCGCGCTGCTCGCATCTTCGAAAGGTCAAGACAAGTGCCAAAAAGCCATGGCAAACAGCAGTGTAAAAAAAAACACAGCGAGGTATCAAAACCAAAAACAAATAAAAAAAATGCGTATTCTGAAAAAATGGGCAAGACGCAAGTGCGAGACAAGCACAATTAAAAAATTAAATCGCCACGCATGAAAACACAACAAGACAAAAAAAAATTGAGTTCAGCAAACAGACGACGGACGACGTAAGACGGACGACGGACGACAGACGACAGACAGTAAAAAAAAGGCCCAGCAAAATAAAAAAATTATATAAAAATCAGCAAAAATGGAACAAGCAAAGAAGAAGAAACACACAAAACAGAAGCAGCAAAAACAATGCACCAAAAGATGCAATTCGACGTGCAATTCCCAACTAGTTCCTGCGCAGCGAGCTCAGGGCCACACACAGAGAAAGAGATAGAGTGCGGGAGAGGGATAGAGTGGGCGGAGAGTGCGAGAGTGCGAGTGAGGGAGGGAATGTAGAAGGGAGTAGGTGTGCAATAGGTGTGCAATGCAATATGTTTTATGGATCTGGATTTAGGTTAGGCCCAAGTCATGTCTAAACACGCACACACACACACACACACACACACACACACAGAGGCAGAGAGTAGAGTGAAGTGCGATGCGTTGACCAATCGGCAATCGCCAATCACCAATCGGCATCAGCACAAAATTCATCAACTGCAAATTGCAAATGCACACACACACACACAGCGAAAGAGAGAGAAAAGCAGGCCAAAGAATTTTGTTGGTGGGCTTTTTGTAAAATTGCGAACAAAATGTGGGCTACAACTTTCAATTGGCGACGATTTCAACAGCCGACAACAGCAACAACAACAACAACAACAACAACAACAAGAGCGATAAACGAAAACGAAAATCGAAAACGAAGCTGATAAACGCTTTGATATGCCCGTTGATCGTATATTACACACACACATACATACATATGTACATATATACACATATTAAATAATGCATATGTGCATACACACAGACATCCATACATATTCCATATGCACATAAACATACACACACACGCACACACACATACACCAATACAGTGAAAGTCAGTGCGCTGCAAGTGCGCGCCGCTGCTGGCATCGGATCTGCAATGAACTCAATTCCAGAGCAGAGCAAATGCAAACAGTTTTCGCTGCTGCCCTGAAACTGTTGTCTACAACAACAAGGGCAGCGCATAACTGTCAACAAATTTATGCCTGCCCTGCTCGCACACATACATATATACATACATAGTAGTAACTGCAGCGATCCCTAATTTCGCTTGTCCGATTTCTCTGCACAGGAACAAAAAGACACTTACACACACACACACACATGCACACGCATATGCCTGCATACAGCGAAGCTTATTCTATTATATTGCTTATGTCAAAAGAAAAACGAGAAGAGCATGAGCCACAAATATTGTTGTTGCTGTTGTTGTTTTTTCGTCTCTTTT